GTTTTTATTTTTTACAACAAGCTGCAATGAAAACAAGTAAAAATGAAATAAAAGTAACGACTTTATACTTCTTGCCTTTTTTAAAAGTGTAAGAAGTAGAAAGTAGGCTGAAAATAATTACTCAAGTACAGATACCCAAAAATTCTACTTAAGTACAGTAAAGTATTTGTACTCAACTTTACAGCTCTGTCTTGGCTGTTCATACAAATAGTTTTTACCAGGTTGTAGACAAGATTCTGATSTTTCTGTAAAAACCAAACACGTTTCATTAAAATAACTCAGTAATTAAAGTAGAAAACTGAGGTTTGGGTTTAACAGATTAACTAATTAGTGGGCCGAACTTTAGTCACTCAGGGCCAGATGTGGCCCGCGGGCCGCCTGTTGAATACTCCTGCTTTATAATACACCTTAAATCAGAAATTTAATGACCTCATATTGTAAAGATTCTTAAAAAGTTTAAATTTATCGTGTATTTTATCATTAAAATGATAAAAATGAATTTAAAATTTACGTTTTTAATAAACGTCCTGAAAGTTCTAGAAGCTCAACGACTTCCTGTTAGTGATCATGACTGACTGCAKCTGTTAGTTCCACAGGGTTCCATTAGACGTGTCCGTCCCCCTCAGGTGGAAGCAAACTGGGTCAGAGGATCAGGAACCACAAGAGACCACCCAGAGACCTGCTGGAACAGAGTCCCGGTCCACGTTCTGTCCCGTCCACCGTGAAGACGTCGTCTCAGAGCTCCGACCTGAGCCGGACTGAGCTCAGAGTCTGCTGACTGAGCTGCTCCTCGCTCATCGTCCTGTAATCGAGTTTCTGCGGCTTCTGCTCAGTGTTCGGTGGAGGACGGAGGAGACGGGAGATAAGAAGCAGAAACAGAGTTAGGTGGAGATGGATGATGTCTCTGCAGGTCAGGAGGGCCTTTGATGATGAGATACGGAGCTGCTTCCTCTGATCCCAAAATATTAAAAATAAATCTGATTTTAAAACATAATTAAAACAGAAAATATCACTTTTATTTCTGAATTAAATAAATTTAAAATGCGCTGGTTTTGCTGTGTGCATTTTAAATCTAATTACATGCTTTTAAGTTCTATTTCCTGTTTTATTTTGAAATTGCCTCGACCAGTCAGATTTAGTTGTTGACCTTTAACCTTTCGGTGCAGCTGGGTCAGGATCAGGGCTGCAGGTTGAAGACTTTTTATTATTTTGCCATTTAATCCTGCGTCTCATCAGAACCCTGGACTGGTTTCCTCTGATCCGTCTGATCCGTGGAGGACCTGGAGGTCAGGGGGCGGAGCCGAGTCAATAACTCAGGGCTGCTCGGCCGTCGCCTCCTCTTTGCATTTTTATCAGGCGTTTAACTCGAGGCGGAGGGCGAGGTGCCGCTACTCTTTATGGAGGAAGCCGGGGGCCGGCTGAAGGTCAGAAGACGCCTCGGAGTCGTAAAACGATGATGATGATGATGATGATGATGATGATGATAGCAGCTCCAGTGACGGTCACTGAGAGGTGAAGAGGTGTTAACAGGAGGGAGGAGCCACACCTGCATGTCTCCAGGGTGGTACACCAGCAGCCCACCGTGTGATTAGTAATAATTTWATAAATTACATAAATGTGAATATTGGACTTCCTGATTACATTTTAATGTTCGACRCCTCACAATAATTATCAATAATTTACTATGGCAGATATGATCAATTATTATTATTAAGTGGTTAAAACTTTGTGTCCAGAGTGTCTCCATGTTTGACTTTAGTCCTGTGGTGCCGTATTATGAACAAATTTAAAACAACTGTGAGCCCAAGGACAGTTAAGTCCTTGTAGCAGGAGGCTAAAACCAGCTACTGCTCTAATGACGGGCCTGCAACGCTAACCGAGAAAAACAACTCGTGTGCTAGTTTTGGAGAAGCTAACACCTAGCATGCTTAGGCTGGCTTTAGCATTAGAGAAGCTAACACCTAGTATGCTTAGGCTGGCTTTAGCATTACAGAAGCTAACACTTAGCATACTTAGGCTGCCTTTAGCAATAGAGAAGCTAACACCTAGCATGCTTAGGCTGGCTTTAGCATTAGAGAAGCTAACACCTAGTATGCTTAGGCTGGCTTTAGCATTACAGAAGCTAACACTTAGCATACTTAGGCTGGCTTTAGCAATAGAGAAGCTAACACCTAACATGCTTAGGCTGACTTTAGCTTTGGAGAAGCTAACATCCAGCATGCTTAGGCTGGCTTTAGCATTAGAGAAGCTAACATCTAGCATTCCTAGGCTGGCTTTAGCATTAGTGAAGCTAACATTTCGCATGCCTAGGCTAGCTTTAGCATTAGAGAAGCTAACACCTAGCATGCTTAGGCTGGCTTTAGCTTTGGAGAAGCTAACATCTAGCATTCCTAGGCTGGCTTTAGCATTAGTGAAGCTAACATTTAGCATGCCTAGGCTAGCTTTAGCATTAGAGAAGCTAACATCTAGCATGCTTAGGCTGGCTTTAGCATTAGTGAAGCTAACATCTAGCATGCCTAGGCTGGCTTTAGCTTTAGTGAAGCTAACATCTAGCATGCTTAGGCTGGCTTTAGCTTTAGTGAAGCTAACATCTAGCATGCTTAGGCTGGCTTTAGCATTAGTGAAGCTAACATCTAGCATGCTTAGGCTGGCTTTAGCGTTAGTGAAGCTAACATCTAGCATGCTTATTTAGCATTGGAGTAGCTAACATCTAGCATGCCTAGGCTGGCTTTAGCATTAGAGAAGCTAACATCTAGCATGCCTAGGCTGGCTTTAGCTTTAGTGAAGCTAACATCTAGCATGCCTAGGCTGGCTTTAACGTTAGAGAAGCTAACATCTGGCATGCCTAGGCTGGCTTTAGCATTGGAGAAGCTAACATCTGGCATGCCTAGGCTGGCTTTAGCATTAGAGAAGCTAACATCTAGCATGCCTAGGCTGGCTTTAGCTTTGGAGAAGCTAACACCTAGCATGCTTAGGCTGGCTTTAGCTTTAGTGAAGCTAACATCTAGCATGCTTAGGCTGGCTTTAGCTTTAGTGAAGCTAACATCTAGCATGCCTAGGCTGGCTTTAGCATTGGAGAAGCTAACATCTAGCATGCCTAGGCTGGCTTTAGCATTAGAGAAGCTAACATCTAGCATGCCTAGGCTGGCTTTAGCTTTAGTGAAGCTAACATCTAGCATGCCTAGGCTGGCTTTA